CAATTCACAGTACACCTTGACTCAACCTGCTGTCCAATCGTCTCCCCTGGGACAATCAGCAGAGATCTCATGTACCATGAGCCGAGACAGCCAAGTGGGCAGTTAAAACATATACTGGTACCAACAGCACCCTTGAAAGACCCCCAAATACCTTCTCGCTAATGCCAACAGCAATGGCCGGTTCACGGGGTCAAAGGACTCCTCGGCCAATACAGCCTATTTGACCATTGCCGGCCTCCAGGCTGATGATGAGGCTGACTACTACTGTGGTGGTGCTTATGGGAGTGGCAGCAACTGGAGGTATCCACAGTGATACAGTCGGTTGCAGAAGTGAGACAAAATCTTTCTCCTGAGCTGGTTGGAGAAGCGTTTCGTTCTGCCCTGAACTCAGCATCCACCTGGCCTGGTAACCTTTCATGCACTGATGGTTTGAGAGCCAGAAGTGTTATGATCTCAGGCTTGGTGAACCCAAAATTCTGGTTTCACTAATAATCTCAATTCAGTTTTGAAGAAATGAAAAATGATAGAAATGATTCTGATCTGTTTTGCTCACCACACTTCTACAGTAAAAGATATTACAATCCGTGCCTTCTGAAATAATCATATAAATTATCTCTCTGTCTCTCAATTTATCATCTGTCAATCAACTGTCCAGCCACATACCCACACACCAAAGAGATGAAAATGAAATTCTCCCCAAGCATCTACTTTGCTCCCTTCTGATGGCACTTAAAGTATGGTGGGATACTTGCTTAAGATAGGTTGACCTGACTCTGGACAATCATTGAGTGAGTTCCTAGAAATAGTTCTGAGATCTGTTCCCTTTTTGTTCACACTTACCTGAGTTTCAACCATATTCTGGATTTCATGGTATGTAATCAGTACTAGGATGTACCTGATTAAAGATGAGAAGGTTTCTAGAGCATTTGAAAAGAGACAAATATACTCTGATGCATTGGGATCTCTCCTTCCTTTCTGGTTCTCCTAATGTTTCTTTTCTAACTCTTCCAAAAACTCACTCCAATGACCATATGAGGCAAAACCTGCATTACCGTTTCACATTTATTAATGCAGTTAATGAGAACTTTTGAGAAGTAACAATGATCACCAGTTACTGCAAGGCTGAAGAACATCATCTGTCCCACTCAGACAGCAATGCAGCTCCAGGCTCTGGAGACCTCAGCCAGTTCTCTCCTTCTCTGGCCTGCTCTGCACTTCTGATGGGAACTGAAAACATGGAGGGAGCATCATTTCTTTTCTTCCCAGTTTTGTAGAATGGCTGTGTGGGAATGGCTGTAACTGATTGTGATTCACAGAGCCACAAGGCAGCAAGAAGACACATGAGGGAAGTGTTTTGTAGAATGGCTGTGTGGGAATGGCTGTAACTGATTGTGATTCACAGAGCCACAAGGCTGCAAGAAGACACATCAGGGAAGTCCTAACAGCTGCATCCTTTACACAAAACAAAGTCTTACAAAGAAATTGCAAAACGTAAAACTTCATTTGCAGTATAAATTCTTCTCCACTTT